TTCGATATCACTCCGGCCTGAATAACCTTGATATTGTGGATCATTGACATTATCATTACTGTATTCATTGTCTTCATTGGGATCTGTATTCATACTATTGGTTGACAATAAACTGAGATTGGTTGTGCGTGATCGTGTTCTATCTGCTATATGGCTCATAATTATCACTTAAATACGTAAATTGTCACCTACTTGTAATAGCCACTAATATGAGTTCGTCTTGTTGTGATCATGTAATGGTCGCAACAAGTACCGTTGTCACCAGTTGTTATGTGGCTCTATTTACTATAGTTGCAAGGCTTTGCTGTCACCAGAGATTGCTTGATTTGTGTTACCGAATGTTATAGGGTTTTAATCGAAAACGGTTTATTTAGAAAATAACGAAATAAAGAAAACATGGAAAAAGTATATATCTTCCAATCTGACTTTTAGTTAACGCGGAAGCCTATTTATAGTCCTGAAACCACGATAGAAGATGAGGAAAATCTGACGAAATAAGATGATGATGCAATGCGAGATGATCATGCATGATGAAAGGAGATGATGAAACGAGATGATGCAATGTAGCATCTTATATAAGGATATCTGACTTGGCTGTTTATGTAAGAGAATCTCCTTACATAACAATTACTTTAGTTTAAGCTAATTTTCTCGGTCTCGAGAAGCTGTTTAAACTTTTAAAATGATAAAAATATTAAAAAATTAAAATTAAAAGCTTTCGATTAGTGAAGATCGCAAGCATCTACCACTTTTCTATCAAACGTTATTCAAAAAACATCCGAGTGCATTCTTTTCTTTTACCGACAATAATGTTCAGAATGACTTTATTTTATAGTGATAGTTTAATACAATCATAGAAAAACATACTTCATTTTTGTGCATATTTCAACTTTTTTAATGCTATTTATGTATCGTTCAACGCACGATAATCTAACTTTAAGTTAAAGTGCAATGTTATACATAAAAAGATAAAATGTTTTTCGATTACTTTGTAACGAGATTGGAACGGTTTTAATCTCAGATTTACGTCGCAAAAGAAAAAATATCAGCCTCATAAATGAGCATAAGCATCTTCATCCGTGTTCAGTGAATACATTGGTGTCTTCTCATTAATCATTAAATATTCAAAATACTTCGTCTCATTACATGTCCGCCGAATATATGGATAAATATTATGCAACTGACTACAATTAACAGCTAGAAATTTTTGTGTTGTGCTTTCGTATCGATGAGAATAACGTTGTTGTAAACATGTCTCATCAAAAGATGGTGCTGCAGCGTATACGTTATGTCGTTTTTGTAATGATCGATAATATCCGAAAATACTTCGTGGTGACCATAACCATTGTGATGCGATTGGTCTCAAGACTAAGGGAAAAATATATTTTTTATCAACTGGAGCCTCAAACCAAATATGAGTAGAATTTTCTTGGAATCCAAAAAGATCGATGAACGGCCAATTCCACTTCATGCTACCAGCTTTCTTTGATTCACGAAAATAAAACTTATCTAAACTATTGTTATTAGGTGAAAATATTGTCCAACTGCGTTGATCGTCTGCGATGGAATCTCTGATTCTTAAGAGGAGCAAACGATCATATTCAGATACTAATATATCGAGATCATCGTCATACGGTAGTATATCTAAAATCAGAGTTTCATTCACTATAAAATAGAAATTTAACAAAAAGCAGCACAAAGAAGGCAACTTCGTAGGTTCTGCTTTTGTGAAAAAAGCAAAAGAACATTAAAAGGTACTAAATTCGTGACAATAGGTCTTCATGTTCGAGTTATGATCATTTCACTAGGGTTTTGACCTTTGGTATAGTGCTCCAGAAGAATCGAATGAATCAATGTCAACCTGTTTTAGAAGTAGTAAATTTTCACAAAGCTTGATTTTTTGAGCTTTTTTGAATTTGAACAGTAGTAAATGTGGTCCTTGACAAGCGCTATCGAATGGTATATAATGATCGACTAGTAATGAACTCCTTCGATGAGTAAATTAACTTACGAACATTCACACACAACCAATCTCAGTTTATTGTCAACCAATAGTATGAATACAGATCCCAATGAAGACAATGAATACAGTAATGATAATGTCAATGATCCACAATATCAAGGTTATTCAGGCCGGAGTGATATCGAA